AATTTGCACACAGCGCGAATGATTCTTGCACTTACTCGAAAAACAAAAGAGCTTTCCTCCTGAAGGAAGAAAGCGCCTTTCTTGCCGAGCCGTGTGCAAACTTCTGAACACATTTCTTTTGGAGGCGTAAAGTACCTTATAGGTTTAACTGCGCAGTTGCTCCAGAAAACTTGTCAGAGTGTAGGATTATAGTTAGTTGGACGAAAGAGTTTTCTAGCAGAGTAACGTATATAACAAACAGCTGTAAATGTCTAGCCATGCAACATCACAATCACAGCAACACAGGTACCGCTTGTTTCGCTGGTATAACATGTGGCTTACGACACTTCTTAGCGTCTTTAGCAAGATCCGGAGATTATAAATCTGCATCAGTGACAATGGACCAGTAGACTATTATCATTATCTTGTATCGTACGTGGGAACTCATCGCAGCCATAAATTGGCGAAAACACACAAAGTGCCTTATGCATTCACCTAAGGTGACTCGATCGACGGCAACAGCGCCCTCTTAGTCCTTTTTTTTTCCTCAGTAGTTGTATATGTTTTGCACTTGCTCTGTGATAAGCCGACGTGTGACAAAGTGACAATTTCACGTGATGACATGTACGGTTACAGATTCCGGCAATCAGCGACATGGTCATGACGTCACATTGCAACGCCATCACGTGATGATGGTTATTTTGCGTCACTTGTGTTGACGCTGCCGCCTACACCGGTGGTCAATTTTCGCATTAACGTGAGCGTCTGGGCGAGTTGGTAATCTATTGTCAAGAAAAAGTTTGCCAGCGCAGAAAAACACGTAGTCAGAAGTCAGTTCTAGTCTGTGTCAGCTCAATTTTGTCCGTGTTTTCGCCATGCTGTTCAAATTTTTGTTGGCGATTTCCGTATTTGATGAGTCACCTAAAGGTCAAGTCACTCTTAGCCTCGAAAGGGGCGAAAAGGGCGAAACTCCGCTCGCTCTGCCGCCAAGGTGGCCGGAAAACCACGAGACAAGACCAATCCGAGCAAGTCGTTCCGGGATTGACATTTCTGGCACGCGATAGCAGAACGCCTTCCCGTATCACTGGAAGCTGTGCGTTGGCTGCATAAGAATATGAGCCACGTGATCTAAACTTCCAGCAGAAAACTTCATATGGCGGCTAAGGAGTCAGCGGTGATTATCATAGACGCAATCGCAAACTAACCTTGATGCTGTTCAAAACTCACAACTTCACAAGACCGCATTCCTCAGGAGCCTGATTCGGTATAAAATTGCTGGGAAGATATGAATGAGAAGAAGGTACAAAAGCAGAGCATAGGTGTGTACCAACATATCTCGCTTTTTCGCAGCCGGCCAAATCGGCTATCGCTGCTGCGGGGGTGTTCGCTTATGTAGCTTGTGCCGCTGCATCTCCTCGAATAACTGCTTGGAGAAGTATGGACTTTTATTTTCTAGAGTTTTCCTCGCAGAACGTGAATTTCTTACGAAGTAAAAAGCCCGAGAAATGCGCGAAATAGGAAGCGCTCTCTTTATTTCTCAGTGGTGTAGGTAAAGTAATAATAGCAGCAGTGGCGGCGGCATGCAGCAGCAGAACAAATGTGAAAGTTTTGGATGCGCGTAAATTTGGTTTCTCTGATAGTTCTGGAGTTTTTACTCGCTATTCGCTTCCTAAGTTTCCGCCTTAAGACTTTATCTTTGATTATTTAAGAAAGCACGACAGCGAGACAGCTTTGGTGGCCATGCACGGCCTCAGCTACTCGGAGTATACCGTTTTACCGCAAAAGGCAACCGAGCTACTCGGAAGGAGGCGAGTATCAGCGACTGCCTCTCACTGCTATTCGTGACGATACGATGCATGCTGTTGCGTCGTCTGAAATTGAAAGGTTCAGCCATATTCATGTTTTAGGCAGTGCACCTTTAGCTCGAAATAACTTTATCATTAAAGGAGCATGAAGTGGGCGCGAAGCGACAGAGGAGGCAAGGAGGAGGTAGCGCAGATAGAAAGGGAGAAGGCAGTATAGGCAAGGAGGTTAGCTAGTATATGTGCAGTTCGCTACGTTACGTGGTTTGCTATACATTGAATGGAAATGCGGCAGCGCTACAGAAAGAAGAAGAACCGACGGTGCACATTCATGAGACGAACTCTAATACTTCCATTATTAATCCAATCGTTTTAATTATTAATCACACGACGCAGGGACCAAATTGAGTGATGTTTGTCGTCATCATCGCCATCATCAGCGAGACTGTGCACGCAGCTGGGCAAAGACTTCGCCCTTGTTTCGCTGATGAGCCCAGTCCTGTGCTTGCTGTGGCCGCGTTGTCCCCGCAAACAGCTTAATCAAGTCTTCCAGCCAAACTTTCTGCACACCCCACTCTGACAAACTGCCAAGAAAAGAGAGTTTGTCAAAGTGCATAGTCTTTTCAGACGTGTTGCCCGGATGGTTGGTTAGGAATCATTAGGTGGAGTGGCGTAATACGGTTGTGTTATCAGTCCACTGCCTTTGTGTCAAACAGCATGTGCTGGCGCAAAATAAAGACTATTTTTTTTTAAGGTAGCACTGTGTTTCCACCTTCTCTCTCGCTCCATGTTGGGTTACGCTGCTCAGTGTTGTGAAGTTTTGACAACAACATTCCTTCAAAATGGGCAATCATATTTGTAACCATGAGCAGCCAATGTGCAACCTCACCTTAGCCGGTAATGAAGCTCGTATCAATAGACAAGGCAAACATCTACTTCAGTGATCACTGCTCTTTGTGAGTAATGACCAATGTTTTAGTTTAAGATCACATGAATTCACCTGTGTTGGGAAACTTTTTCTGATCATTACCGAAACGCAAAAATACAATGCTGCGATTTGCGAGGCTCGGTGACCGTGGGTGGACAACCCAAAAGGCACATGTTATTTGTGGATATTACAAAGAATTCGTTGCCAGTAAAGCCCATGCTTATGCGCGAGGAATCATATATCTGTCTTTATATACCTTTTCTGTGTAATCAAACATGAGTTGTGCGTGCAAGCGCTGTTCTGTCTTCATGTTGTCCATGTTTTTCGCGGTGCGTTTAGCGAAAAGGTAATAGATAGATAGATAGATAGATAGATAGATAGATAGATAGATAGATAGATAGATAGATAGATAGATAGATAGATAGATAGATAGATAGATAGATAGATAGATAGATAGATAGATAGATAGATAGATAGATAGATAGATAGATAGATAGATAGATAGATAGATAGATAGATAGATAGATAGATATATAGATAGATAGATAGATAGATAGATAGATAGATAGATAGACAGACAGACAGACAGACAGACAGACAGACAGACAGACAGACAGACAGACAGACAGACAGACAGACAGACAGACAGACAGACAGACAGACAGACAGACAGACAGACAGACAGATAGATAGATAGATAGATAGATAGATAGATAGATAGATAGATAGATAGATAGATAGATAGATAGATAGATAGATAGATAGATAGATAGATAGATAGATAGATAGATAGATAGATAGTGATGTTTAAAGTGAACGCATTACGCCAAGAAATGCATCTCTTGTAAAAACGCAAATGAATTTTGAAGTGGAAAGAGTGTGCTTAACGCATGTGATATTGAGTCGCAGCCGCGTAAAATCGCGCCATCATCAAACACTTGTGAAGTGCGCAACGAGTTGGTGTTGTTACAAAGCGCTCAGACATTTTCATAATCATCAGCTGCAAAAGTGACCACAAAGTCAGCAGCTGTATAGGTCGCACGTCGTCTTCCGAACGCGTATAGTGGGTACTCCACCGATTCGCAGAAGGAATAATTATGGCGTAGTTGAATGACTGCTCTCGATATAGGCATTGTAGGATTGTTTGAAATGGCCGATGGTAGAAGCATGCTCCTAGAACCGCAGTTAAGGGAGCTCTTGAGAATGCGATGTGCGCAGGGGCCGATCACACTATCGCGTTCCGCTTCGAAGGTCAAGCTCAAACGTCCTCAAAACTGTTGCAGCTGTTCCCTCGTCTCTGTAGCTTCCGTGCTAGAAATTCGCTCTGCGGTGACCTACAAGAGCTAAAGGAAGGCAACTTCATAGTTCATCGACCCTGCGCAATTATCATGTCGTCAGAGACAACAAAATACGTCATTCGATGCGTCCGGGCCATGGAGAGGAGTACACGGGAAGAACGCGGAAACGCGAAGGGTCCTTTTCTTTATTTTATATACAAGCGACACTGCCGGTGACCGATAAAAGCCATTCGAGATGTTAAGCGCGGGACAGGTACCTGCCGCAGCCATCGCGAGAACGCGCATCGACAGTTATGGGTCCCGCTACAAATATCTTGCGTATGCACGACCCCCCGAGTTCAAAGGGAAGCCGCGCCCATCTCCACCGAACCTTCGCCGGTGGCTCAGGTTTTGAGCAAGCACCGTGGGGATTTTGTTGTGCTCGAAGTCTCTCGAATAGCGTGCGCCTTATGGCCTCCGATTGACAGGCAGTCAGAGACCGATACCTGTAAAGGAGCAAAAATAAACAGCAAACAGAAAGAACTGAATGAAGGGGAGTGCGAAAGTCAAAGCGTTTCCGCCGCCGTCACCTCCACGTGTGGCGTGTATTTGCGTGAATGGGGATCCCGTTACGAGTGGCGTCCACATCCTTCTCACCCCAGGGGTCATGAAAGCGGAGGCAGGCGCGTACGCGGCCTATCGGTTCGCAACGTCCGACACACCGGTGTCCGTGGCGGGCCGCCGCAACAGGGTACTTGAAAGGCGATCATCAAAGGCGATTCTGCCCGCGCCGCGAAGGCGCTAGCCCAGTGCCGTGGGTGGTCCTGGCGTGACGGTGGCAGCGCGCCGTTACCCAAACGGTCCAGCGCCGGTCCCTCGACGTCGCGGCAAGGAGCAACAACAACGGCTTTGGCAATAGCAGGACGCCACCTAGCGGACGGACCACTTTCGCCCGCTCGACGCGGCGGGGAGAGCGCGGCCCTGAGAAATCCAGTTCCTCTCCTCTGACGAGACAGAGCTCGCTCTCGCTCCTTCCATCGCCGCGCGGCGAAACCGCACTGCCCACGGACGCCGTCACAACGTCCGTAGCCACCGTCAGTGAGAGCCGCAAATGCGCTAGTGCGAGCGAACACCGAGAGTTCGTGGACGACGATATGCGACCACCATGAGTGCGCGGCGTCGGCTTGGAACGGGCTCGACGCCGCCGCTTTCGATTCTCGCTCGGCCTGAGAAGCCCGCGAAATGACACACCGGAACCTTGCTTGTGTGCAAGGACTAATCGTCCTTAATCTCCGAAGAAACGAGGATTATCGCCGCTGTGCGCCGAGACGCCGGATAATCTACTGCTGCGTGGCCTGTGGTCCTGCTTCTGGGTCACCCGGTTGGGTCCGGGAAGCAGGCGTGGTTATTGTGTGATCGGTGACTTGTGTGTCCCAGTGCTGCCACGGTGATTGTGTGTTGATCAGTTGCTAAAAGCAACGACACCTGCTCGACATGAACGACACCAGAGGATCAGCCGCCTTTGGTCGTGGACGCTCCAGATAACGTGTTGGTGGTCAACCCGGAACTCGCAATGTTCAAGCGCCGCGAGGAAGTCGTGTCTGCCGAGGACTCGAGCCGGAGCTTCTTCGTGCGTTACCTAGGATGCACCCGCTTCCAGTCCAAATCCAAGCAGCGGGGGCTGAAAGCTCTGCAGCAACCGTTGCTGGACTTGTACAGTGCCGCGAGGCGCAAAGGCGAGAGCCAGCGGTCCGTGCACCCCCTTGCGCTAACGCAGCGACTAGACGTTTCGCACTATGGCCTGGTGGTTGCCGAGGCACTAGAGGATCCGGAGACGAGACGAGCCGTGACTGCCGTTACGCGTGTGATTACGCCCGCTGCAAACATCGTGCTTTGGGCCGCCCTCCGGTTCAGCGCACGGCTTGCCAAGAGGCGCTCTATCGGCGCCGCCTTCGTGCCCTTGGCTTGCTCGGAGGACGTCGTCGACCGGTCCTGGTACCTAGGATTGTCGGCCAAGCGTAGATTCCTTGTCGGATTGGCACACCCTCCCGTGTTCGCCTGCCTATTCCGACAAGTCGCGGCGCCGTCGACGTGGGAATGTCATGGATTCATCTGTGCCTCAGCTGAAGACGCGCTACTGATATGTTCATCATTAGGAGAAGCGCGGGACACTGTTGTTGTACTGGATAGGCCCACGCCTGCACCGGTGGTAGTGGCCGGTGGAAAACGACCAGATGACTACAGCGACCTCACTTCTATCACGGCGTCTTCTTATACTGTGAGGAACGCGAGTAGCCGGAAGCACACGTCGTCAATAGATGAACCGCAGTCGTCGGTTACGGCGTCAGCGAGTGGCTACTACCAAGAAGTGGTCGATCGGAAATTCAAGTCTCCCCGAAGGTCGTCCAAGAGAGTGTCGCGACGAACGGACACGGAGTCCAAGTCCTCGGCAAGTGAAGAAAGGAAACGACGGGTACGCCGAAAGTCAAATTCCTACAAGTACCGGGACCTCTCCAAGAAGTACGCTGGTGCTGCACTGCCTAGACCTGTCACATCTGAGCTGTCGTATTCATCTGCGGGAAATGTGACTGTCACGACGGAAGATACTCTTGTAAAGGATGTCATCTTACAAACGACCAGCCATAAAGATGGACTCATCTTTCAAAACGTCGTACCTGCTTCGAATGGAGGCGGCGTTCCGCAGGAGTCTTTCGACGAGTCATCTTCTTCCGCTCAGACTCCAACAAACGACACTGGATACTTCTCCTCGAAATCAAAAAGTGCCAAGGCGTCCAAAGAGGACCTGACACACGAAGAAGCCTCCGCTGCTCCCCCGGAGCCGCCTCCTCCACCGAGGCCACCACAGTCAACCTACTACTTCGGTCAAAACGTGGCACCTGTGGCATCTTCGACTGAAAAGACCTATGTTACATCCTACACGTACTTCCTGAAGGACTCTGCCAGGATTCCTGTCAAGGAGCCAGTGATCTTGCCAGAACAAGTGAAGCCTCGAGAAACAAATACGACGGCAGCAGTAACAACAATGGTTCCACCCAGCGGGACGTCGGACAGCTCATTGTCAGGTTATCACTCCGACTCATGCTGTCAGACGCGAGAAGCCGGCACTATGACCAAGGACGACGACTGCTGTGACTCGGACTGCTGCTGCTCGTGTGACTTCTCTTCCGTCTGCTCCGAATGCAGCTCAAGCCGCAGGACGCTGGTACCCAGCGGCCGGTGCCAGAGCCGCGGCCAGATGACCATTTCGGAGACGATCAACTTTAGCAGCGAGTGCGACTCGGAGGCGCACTGGATGCGACGCAGCTCAGTGGCTCACTCGTTTTCCACTGACGGGCGCGTCAAGGGGCGATCGGAACACAGCCACGAACACGTCACACGAGCTCAGGTGCATCACCACCACCATGAGCGCACCCAGCACGTGCAACAGCAGCACCAGCCGCCGCATATCTTCACGGAAGTTAAATACCACCGGGAACCACAAGATGGGAAGCAGCAAGCGGATGCTGAGACAAAAACCATGAAGAACGCGTGCACTTCAACGACAGCCTCGTTGTGCGGTGACAGCTCGCCCAACGGCAAGGTGGTCATCGACGTCGCGCAGTGCGACGGAATCAGTAGAGGCGTCATGACACCCGGAATAATAAGCTTCAACAAGCACGGCCACGTAAGGGACTGGGCCTCACTGAGCAACTGCTCGGGCTCGTCGCGCGTCACCACCACCACCCTCCAGCCGGTGCAGAAGCCGCAACGGACAGTCAAGGTCATACGGTGGGAGCAGCAGCCGCAGCTCAGCAAACGCAAGTCGAAGCCAGGATTCTTGACCAACTTGAGGACCTCCTTGACACGCGCCCGGCTCAAGACGGGTAAGTTGTTCAGCCGCATGCGGTCAAACCACAGTGGAAAAGAGGTCGCCACCACGACGACGGTCCACGATCCGGACGCTGGGTCGCAAGACGAAGTCTGCCTCAGCCCCGACGGAAACGCACGCCCCAAACGAAAGCGGAGGCGACGGCTGTCCTGGAGCTTCCACGACCTCCGGTCTGCGTTCCCGTCCAAAAACAACGGCACCGCAGCCAATGCTCCGCAGAGGCCACGACGCAGAAAGAAGAAGAAGAACCGTAACGGCCGTGTTAACGGCAATGCCGCTGGCAGTGATGTGTCCGATTCTTTCTTGGAGGAAGAGGAAGAAAGGGCCGTTGACGCGTCCACGAGTCCGCCACGGAGGCCCCGGCGCAAGTCAGATTCTGAGCTCGGTGCCAGTGTTTCTGCTGCTAATGGCGGTTCGCATAAGAAGCAGCAGCAGCGCCGTGTCGCTGGTGATGTGACCACTATACGCGTGGAACACGGACTCACCAAGGAGGGATTCACACGCTGGTCCAACACGAACTTGCACTCGGAACTTGGATACATTCCGTGAGGAAAAGTGCGTGTGTGTGTGTGCTTGGATTACGAAGAGCAGAGGTAAATAGGGCGTCCTCTCAGGTTCATTGTCGGTTGGATCGCAGCTGAAGATGACCTTAATCGGGATCACATCTAGCAGTGTCACGCCTCATAGCTAATCTGCATTGGCATCATAGACGGGCATAAACTTAGTTATTGCCTATTTTGTGCATAAGGCGGACGTTGACGATACACGTTTTAATCATTTATTCAAGCAAAAAGCGAATGTCATCAAACGTTCATTTTTAAATTTGTTAAACCTATGCAACGTTACATTTTAATTCAAACTACCTCACCAACCAGGAGCGCCAGTTGATACCGTAGTGTGACCGTCAAACAAAAGCTTGTCGCTGCTTTCCGAGAGCTTGGCATGGTTGCCAATAGCATGAAAGCAATGAGCAAAGCTGAATTTTACGAAGCGAGGCTGCTCTCCAACCGAAGATGAAGTTTGCCGCCCTGGATATGGTGTGCCGGTGGAGTGAGTGCGGCTTCGAAAGTGGCCAAGCGCTTAGCGCTTCAAATCGCGTTTTAGCGAACTTTACACGGCCTATGAATCGTTCTATCAGCCCCTCTGCCTCTTTCCCCTCTTTTTTCCTGTTATCAATGTGCATGATATTTGCAGAAGGGATCAGTCCGTTGCCATACAGTAGCACTGGACAAATATTCATTTCTTAATTTCAAAATACTAAGTTCAAGGGCACAGAATTTGTACGCCTTTCACGTCAATCACGCCGAACTAATATTTCGCAGTTCTTACCCAGCGATGACCTACTGTATGATATGCCTTTATTCCCACATATTTAGCATCGAAAGTCTAAATTCACAAAGACCCTTCCAAACTACGTCGCTGGGATTGCTGTAATGGTAGTGCACAAATAGGGGGCACTTATACAGTACTGGTGGTACTTAATGAGTAACCTCGTGATAGCGACAGCAGAACCATTTAGCTTTGTATAATCGAATGCATTGTTACGAGCAGCTACTTTTGCATATTTCTCTTCCTCGAAACGTCACGCGTATTCTTTTCGCATGTTTCCTCATTTATCAGTTCAACTGAAGGTTAAGCCATATGAAGTTTTTAAGCCCTTGATATTTGCTGATTGAAAAGATGGAAACCTACAACCAAGCAGTTGGTTTGTTCAAGTTAAACGACCATGGCATGACCAGATGAAACTTATCAATATGAAGCAAGCAGCCATTTGGTAAAAAACTTCACATCCACAGATAGCATCACTGTAATCAACTCAGTATATGGGGTACACATTACTATAAACTCGTCGGCAGGGCAAGAGGTATTGCGTTACTGACGCTGGAGTATCCACACGTAGTAACATAAGGAAAAAGGCAACGGACTTATCCCTTGGTGTGGTTCCCTAGAAAACTCATCCTTTCCATGTCGTCTTTTCTGAATGGCGTTCTAGATATTTCTAATACCTGTCAATGAGCAGAGGAAAACTTACCTGCTCTTAAACGTGTGCTATGAGCCGTGTGTACGTAGTCGACGTTAGCGTGACGCTGTGCAAAGATGCCACGAGCGGGATCGATCACTGGGCCTGTGCTCGGGAATGTGTTGTGCAAGAAGTGGTCAACTGTCAAAGTGTGCCTTCCTCGCGGAGAAGTGCTGCCGATGGGTGGACAAAGAAAGAAAAGTACCTTACTGAACTCTTAACCGCCTCCGGTTGCGATGTCCTAGTCCATCTGTACATAAAGCCTATACTCTCCTTGACAGCTAAATAAAAAGGACATTCAAGCTTAGCGTATTTCTTTGTCTTGTGAATCAGTGACGTGACAAAGATAGTTCCTGGATGTCTGGAATCGTGTGTCAGGCATGCTGCCGAAAGAGAGCACGCTGTATTCAAACTCTGCGATTCATCGTGTTAAGAACATGTGATAACGGAAGTAGGCAGCTCCACGGAATGGCGGTGCATAAGCCAGAAGAGAAGAAAAACTGCTGGCCGCACTACGCATAGCGTAAGTACAATGTGGGACCATATTAAAATCCGTAATGGTTGCAGCCCTTGTCTGGCGAGAACGGCATCGAGAGTTTTGTGCGGTAGCGCCAGCTTCGAGCATTGACATCATTCCATTAAGATCAATGTACGGAAATTTACGTAAAGACAACGCCGAAAGGTAAGATGCGTTTGTTACCGCACCTATATCTCCCCTTCGCCATTTATTTATGCATGGTTTATTTATGCAGCTCCACTAAGAAATGCACAAATAATAATTGCTCAGTTGGTCACTGCTATGAATGGTGTTGTGAATCACTGCTGTCCACCAGCAACGCCTATATTTTACTTTGGTGCAAATGACTCAATGTTTTTTTCAGATTCATCAACGAGAAGTTAAAGAATATTCTGTTAAGAAGTACTCCCTTAATATTTGCACAATTATATTCTTGTGAATGCGAAGTTAACGCTGTGCAAGCATTGCATGCCAGCCGGAATAGAAGTCTTTTCATTTGCTGTCTCAAATGCAGTCGTGTCCTAATCTCGTGTACGCATAAAACGGAAGAAATGTCGCTTTTTTTAATAGTTGCGCTCAATTTAAAAAAAAAAATGATGCATACTTTCAAGAGCAGCCGCACCCTGACACAGTGCTTGAATAGGCTAGAATGTTTGCGAGACATTAGGCCACATCATTAAGTCACTCAAAAGTAAAGGTGCAGCGATGTGGAAACATCCACGGTTTGACGAATTCATAGCTTATTTTTCACTGGGCCATGTGTCAGGTGCCCCTCGAGGGCGGCGCTTTTTTCGCGAAATTTTCACCAGTGCCACTGTGGGCTAGCCTAAAGATATATTGACCAGCACAGAAATGCGCCTATACAATCAAACTCTGATGACGTTCTCACGTTTTATTGTATTATTATATATAGGCTAATGTCATACGGTTAACTTAACTAGACTATAGTTATGTTGAAGGTGGCTAGTGTAGGAGATAACTCTGTAATGTGGCGTTAACATGCCCTTCGCAAAAGCACGCGCTTCAGACAATAAAAGCCTCCGTTCCAATATGAAAGCAAATTTTGGAGAACAACCTTCCAATTCCCACCACTGTGTGTCAGCAGTACACGATTAAACGTATTTGCTGTGTTTTACAGTTTCACATGTGAGCCTGTAGTGTGTCTTATGTAGCTCATAAAGGCGTCACCATTTAATCAGGCAGTACCCTTGCATTGTCCTGGGAAATATGTCATTGATGCGGACATGACGATTCCCGCGGAATCAGAACGTGATATAACATATACGGAAAGATATTGTGCGCGTCAAGGAGGATTAGTGCACCTGAATTATGGAAAGTGGTCAGACTTTTATGAAGTTCAGCCTGATTTCGTATAACCTCTTCGCTTCAACCTTCTTGGATGGCTATGATTGAAAAACATCCCCGGGCGATGCTGTATTATAAAAAGTAGAAACCATTTGTTGTGGTAAGCGGCAGCATGTTTCACATTTATTTTGCACTTCAAATGCTGTATTACTTCTTGTGTGGTGCCGTGCATTTGAAATCTAATGTACATAAAATCACAAGCGCATTCTACATACAGCACGTCATGGGTGATTTAACCTAAACAACTTGTTCATGAGTGTGAAAGCGCGTATGCTATGACATGTTGGCAATGTATGTTCTTGTTTTCGGCAACAACATAAGAACGAAAAAGCGTCTTTTTCTTTTTTTCTGTACTTTAAAAGATGTAGATGGGTATTTTTTATTTATTTACAGCCACAAATATAGTCAAAAAATATTTTTTTTTCTCTACAAGACGAATAAACCTTCAACTTCGAAAACGAGCAAGTCTACATTAACATTCGAGGTACTTGAGCGATCGCTTGCGCATATATAACATTTGTCGTTGAGGCGTTTGTAGGAGAGCGGTGGTTGGAAAATGAGAGACGGGGCCGTCTGCGTGAAAATAATCTGAGATTCAGTGCAAACATGACAGAGGTAACGGGGTGATCAAAGGCTAAACCGATCGAAGACCGCGAGAAGAATGGAAGCTTCCATCTATACATGCAACGTTTTGACACAGACGCTCGTCTGAGGCCAATCTTGATCAAGGCGAGTCACTTGTGAGAGGAGCGGATGAGGCTTTTCACGTTCGTACATCGTCCGATACACGGTGACTACATTGTACGCTGTCGTAACCAGATTCGAAGATCGCCTCGGTCAACTGTCAATTCGTAAAAGCATGCATAAAGGCGCACGAGGCAGTCTGAATAACTTTGACTTATCTCCATAGAAGATGCGTTGCTTTGCTGTAGCACATAACAGTGTGCAAGGAGTCCGTGCGTTAATAAAGGGTGAATATATGTGTGCAAACAAGCAATCTGACATTTAGCTATGAGGTGGCGTTCATTCTGAAAATTACCAACAGTTTGAGATGTTCCGCCCAAATGACATCGGATTTACATGAAACTCCAGAGTCTTGATAGTATATAAGCTATATAATTTGTATATTACCGAAAAAAAGTGTTCAGCCGGTAAAACACCACGCATACTTGAAAACGTTTTTAGCAATAAATACTGGTCGCCGCAAATGTTAAAAGACGTGTTGTATTAGGGAAATGTACAGGAAATATTAAAATATCCAAAACGATTAGCACGATTGTTTTCTCGAACGCAAACAAATGGGTCGGATGAACGCGCTCATCAAACGTAAGTGTTGTGGCACTGATTTATTGTACGTGCAGCTGTAGCTTGATCTAGTTCTTCACCAGACATTTTTACAAGGAACAGGTTTGATTAAAAATTCACATCTTCAATACACCTTCTCATTGCCACATTTCCACTGCTTCAGCATCCCACGTATAGCGCTGATGCGTGCGCTCAAAAAAGTGGAAAGTGGCAATGGATCATTCAAAGTTGTTTCCCTGCTTAATACGTATTCTCGATATATTGAAAAGGCACGCTATACAGTACACTCCACTATTCCGAGGCAAGCTTAATACGTCTAAGCTACCCACTCAGAAGGTTCTAAAATATTATCGCTTCGTGATGAAGCATGTTGAGGTAGAGCGCTAATTCTCTTTTCTGGATGTGTCAGTTTCGTACACTGCAAAGCCGGGGGCCCGGGTGTCCTCAGGCTGAGAGCATGGAAACCATTGTAAATATAGCTTGATGAGTCGGAAATATATACCCTACGTGCATGGCACCCACCAATTCGCTGCTACCGTGGAATCGCTTGCCAATTGTTTCATGCTCGGTGCTACTCTCTGGGTGCTGTGAAAGACGATGGCTTTTGAAGAGGAGCAGATTACAGTTCTGAGAAGAAGCAGATTTACATGTTGAGTTCTTGAGCATATATGTTAGACACCAGTGAGCTGTAGGATCTCGATGCACGAAACACCATATATGGTCGAAATTTCCGGACCCCTCCTCTAGAGCGTCGCGCACAATCATATCGAGGTTCCGGGACGTTTAACCCCGGATGTTCATTCTTTCAGTTCTTGATCAGAAGCAGGTGTACATTTTGTAGTTTGTTCGCTCTCTGATTCGACTGAACTATCGTCCACGGTGCGTAAAGACAAAGTTCGAACCACACGACTACCGCGCATTTCACAAAGCGGTGAAATCATCTTTGTGTTTTTTTAGGAAAGGACGACTTTTTTTGTGCGTTATATGGGCTGTATGGTGCAATCCTCTCACGAACACACGTTCACCGTTTTCCTTTCTCACCTCTTTCCATTCTTCTGTTCCATTTGTCTTGTATATGTTAAGCCAATTGCTGCTTCAGATCCTGGCCCTCCGTCACATCGACATCCGTACCTGAACGATGCGTCAATAAAGGTATATAGATTGGCGCAAAAAGAAAATAACAATCATTCATATGCACCGACGCAGGTGTTAGACTAAAAATTGTGCTCACGTCGAGCGTTTATCAAAGGAACGTCTCCCTATGTTTCTCGTCATAGAAATAAGTAAGTTGAAACCTCATAGAAATACTATACAGGAACTTCTTTTTTCTGTGGACGACAGAAATGGCTGTTCTGTTTCTGAAATGTTCGAATTTGTTTAAATTCAATGCACTATTAGATTTTCATTACATTCGCACTACTTGAGAAGCACTCCAGCAAAACACTGCGATGGAACGAAACGAAAGTGAGCCAGCTTCATAATGCTTTAGTGACACCGAAAGAAAACGCCCATTTGCGTGCCAAGTCGTTTTACTGATACATATTATTCCGACTTACCGCACAAGTTCATTCTAAAGCTACTTTAGGCTCGTTCCGCACATTCGGAAGGTGTCGTTCATCAGTGCTTCTCTATTTCTGCATCTTTCTGCTTGATCAGTGCTGTGATATGGCACAGCCGACGTGACAGCTTCGTGTCCAAGCTGCTATGTGTGAGGACACGGGTTCGATCGCCAAGTAATTCGATCAGAGTGAAATGCAGAAAACACACGTGTACTCCCATTTAATTGCTCGTCAAATGTCAAAGTAATATAGGAGTTCCTTCATGCCTCATAAAAAAACATAATAACGTCATGATTGTTTTGTTTTTGTTTTTCAAAACAAAAACACGGCTTTTTTTTTAATTGCCAAATATTGGGCGCAGTGCACAAGAGCGTTATCAGTGTATCCATTGATTTCAAGCTGATTCGATCACCGTAATAACTACTCTTTTGAATTTCAAGTTTCTCTAAGTCACTATTACAAAATATTATGAAAAAACAAGAACGTGCGCCGAGTGTCAGCGTCGGAGCGCCGTGTTATTGGCGACAAGGTTGCTAATATGCTCCAGCGGGTATTGTGCAGCCTTC